GCTTCCCTTTTCTGACGATGAATCATGCTATGCGCTAGCAAACGTTAGTAGCAGATGTCTCTTCAGCGAGTACAGAAGTACAGATAAACCGGCGGCCACCCAACGGCTGCGTTGCAGATCGAGGAGAATCAGCAAGTTCGGTTGAAATGACAACACACCTCGCAGTCGCCCAAGCCCAACCATGCGGTGTGCACGCCCGGAACTTCATATGATTGACGACTAGAGGTGTGCACGAATATTATGAACGCGCCGTTTCCAAGCGCAATACTCCATCGAGATACACCTCCCCATTGTCTCTGTTCGTCGGTCCCATTTCCTTAGCAGCCAGCAGTGGCCTTGACTCTGACCTTGCTCCCATCTCCATTTTCATCACAAGCTAGCTCATCCCGACGCAAGTAATACACTATATGTTTAATAAACTCTCTGCCTTGCCTCGTGTGTCCATTTGCATATGCATGCAATGACGACATGCATAACTTAATTAGATCCATGCCTGCGTCCGTGATGCCCTATATAAAGGACTGCATATGCCTCACTACTCACTCATCCATCACAGCTTAGCAGCAATCACCAGTGCCTTAGACACTCTCGATCAGCAAACTCTAGCTCATCAGCCCTAGCTAAGCTTGTTGCATTTGTTGCCTAGCAAGCAATGGAGTACGCAAAAACCATAGCTGGCCTGTTCGCCATGCTGCTCCTTGGTCCGGCTCTGGCCACCGACTCTGACCCTCTCCAGGACTTTTGTGTCGCTGACCTGGACGGCAAGGCGGTCTCGGTGAACGGGCACCCATGCAAGCCCATGTCGGAGGCCGGCGACGACTTCCTCTTCTCGTCCAAGCTGGCCAAGGCCGGCAACACGTCCACCCCGAACGGCTCGGCCGTGACGGAGCTTGACGTGGCTGAGTGGCCCGGTACCAACACGCTGGGCGTGTCGATGAACCGTGTGGACTTCGCGCCGGGGGGCACCAACCCGCCACACATCCACCCCCGTGCCACCGAGATCGGCATCATGATGAAAGGTGAGCTCCTCGTTGGAATCCTTGGCAGCCTTGACTCGGGGAACAAGCTCTACTCCAGGGTGGTGCGCGCTGGGGAGACGTTCCTCATCCCGCGCGGCCTCATGCACTTCCAGTTCAACGTCGGTAAGACCGATGCTTCCATGGTCGTCTCCTTCAACAGCCAAAACCCCGGCATCGTCTTTGTGCCGCTCACGCTTTTCGGCTCCAACCCGCCCATCCCAACGCCGGTGCTCACCAAGGCACTCCGGGTGGAGGCCAGGGTCGTGGAACTTCTCAAGTCCAAGTTCTCCGCTGGGTTTTAATTCCTGGGAGCCTTCCCTGAAATGATCAAAATATAATTCAATGTATATGTTTGCTAGCAAAATTTAATTATTCTCAGCAGAAGACGTGCATTCAAGCTTCTGGTTAATCTCACATGCAGTTCTAATAATATTGAATAAGTTAGTCTCATGGTTTAGCCTTCAGATCCAGTATGGGGAATTGTATGTACTACTTTTTATTGTCATCTTTGTTCTTTTCATTGAATGGAATATATGATTAGCGTTTTCGTATATTTGTCCCATTACCTTCATAAGTCAAACATGTTCTAAAGTTTACGTCATGATGGCATGGTGAGCAATCTCGAAATCATTCAGAAAATATGCTCTCAAAATTACGTGAATACATTGTGAGAATGCAAAATGTTCCATGTATTGTAGCAATCTCAAGAATGTGCAAAAAAACATGAGTGGTTTTTCTACCATGCACAGAATATCCTGTACATGGATCCACCGTCCGTAGTTGCTTTAAGATTTATGCTATTTTTTTGTTGTACTAAAAAATCATCTTGTTTCATTCATTTTTTCCTTGTTGCGAAGTGTATCATCATATTTCGGTCAAGTGGCTCGCCACTTAGTTGTATGGTGGACCTCCATGCTCACCCGCAAAGGGGGGATTGTGCTGTTCAAGGCGGTTCTCTCGGCCATGACTATTTATGACATGCTTTCTCTATATGGATCTGCTGCAATATGCAATGGGTCTTCTAGTGTCAACAAAATCATTAGAGCGTTACTTTTGCGTGGATCTGAAGAAGCCAAGGGCAGCCATCCCCGTGGTCTGGGAGCAAGTGTGTCGACTGACCGAGTTTGGCGGGGTCAGTATACACAATCTTCAGTTGCTTAATCGTGCTCTTCGTCCCTGATGGCTCTGGATGGAGGGAGTGGGTTCGGTCAGATCTTGATCCGAGGTGAATGTAACTACTTCAGTGCAAACTCGTGACTTGTTTCTCGCTGCTACGCGATGTGAATTTGGCAATGGGCAGAGGTCCAGTTTCTGGCACGATAGGTGGCTACTTGGCCGCAACTCGGCATCTATGGCTCCTCATATGCGATTGTTGGTCCATGCACGAGGGTCCAAATCCAAAACTATGGCGAAGGCGAGACTGGATAATAGATGGGTTCGTGACATTCATGGAACTTTGTCCGTGTAGGCAATTGTGGAATATCTCAGCCAGTGGGCCGCAATTCAGAACATGTCGACATTTACTTCAGAGGTGGATAAATTCTCATGCCATCTCACTGTGGATGGATGATAGTTGCTGAGCTTAGCATACATGGGCTTTGTTTTTGGTTCTCTAATCACTATAGGCAGACAATGCAAATTCCCTGTGCAAGAACATCGCTCCACCCAAGGAGAAATGCTTTTGTTGGTTGGTCATGCATGACAGATTTTGCCCTGCAGACGGGCTGGCAAAGAGAGTCTACTCTTTGCGGCCAAGCCATGAGACTAGAGCTCAGTTGCTCATTGTTGTCCTTTTTCTCACGAGGTTTGGTTTAGGCTTCTGGGTTTTAGGGCCATCGGGTCTTTCATCTCTTCTACTCTTGACTTGGTCTGTGCATGGTGGTCCTCTGTTTTTGACATAGAAAGTAAATTGTGGCAGTTTCTATTGCGGGCATGAGGAAAATCTGGCCTGAAAGGAGCTCTAGAGTCTTTGATAGCATTACCTCCTCTGCTTCTAGAGTTGCCGATCTGGACATTGAGGAGATGAAGGGCCTGTTCGGAAACACTCCGGCTCCCAACTCCGTGGAGCTGAAGTGGCGGAGCGGAGCGGAGCGCAGTTCATTTTGGTGGAGCTGCCATTCTGCCGCTTCGCATTCCAGCGCCGAGCGGAGCGGAGTAGCTGGAGTGGTCCGTTGCCGAACAGGCACAAAATTGTGGGAAATGCCTAGACTCAAGGCAGGTAGGGGAGGAGCAGTTTTTGGTGGTCGGTATTCGAGTTCATTCAATTCCTATTCTTGTAAATCATGCTGCTTTCAAATATTAATGAAAATGAGGGGCATTTTAGGTTGCCCGTTCATAAATTTTTTTAACAAGGTGTACTATTTTGAAGTCGCCAAACCAACGAGTCAATCGTATGTATACATAATTAGAGCAATTCCAACATGGTCCTCAGCACAGTAAAGTAATATAAGACTTCTCCAACTACAAACTTTTTAGTTTTCCATACATATCTTAGATAACACCTACCATGCAAGGTACTTTAGAATTTAAATATGATTTTCTTCCAAATTGTAGGCATTGTTTTAATATACTAGTTGTTCAAATTTAAATCATATCCATTAAATACCCTAATAATCATTTACTGCCTAAAAATTAACAAATGAATTGCGAGAAATGCATAATTTCGTAATGTTGGAAGTTAAATTTAGAAAAAGGTTTGGAGCCTTCGGTATCGATGTAGAAAAAATTGGACCTTAACCATAGCTCAAACCCTAAAATCTAAAATGTTATACCATTGGGCAGCATACGTGCTTGTCTTTTTTTTACAAGAAGTATATGTGGTGCTTGTCACTGGTAAACACTTATCATGATGAGTAGCCTAAAATCAGGCCGACTGGTGGGCTAAACGTGCCAGTGGGCTGACCCGTTTCCTTGTTGTGCCGTGCCTGGGCCAGGAGTGCGGCACGAGTGACGGCCCGTGTATTAGGCGTACCTGGGCCATGGCGCGCCGGCCTGTCTGGCCAGGTTTCTCATTTCAATGGGCCTTTCTGATCGCACGTGGCCTTCTCCCTGTCTCTAAAAAAAAGCTCTTCCATTCCCAGTCGTCAGATACAGTGTGCCGGCGCGTGGCGAGTGGCCGACGTACGCGTCGTCGCCTCCTTCCACATCCGCGGCGAGCCGCCAACAAGGTACCGCTCTTCCCGCCGCACAGCTCTTGCTTCTCGTTTGATGTCTGATCTGTTATGTATGTGTTTCTATGTGTGTGCCGAATCTTGCCCTAGAGTACTGATGAAATTGTTAGTCGGACCTTCTCTGATGCGTTTACTGTTGACTAAAGCTGATTCTAAAGCCCTAGATGAATTTTTATCACTGTCGCGTCCTTCTTGATTGATCTAGTTTCCAATCTGAGTATAAACTTTCTCCGACGGTCTCTACTCTAAACATTGGACTGAAAACTTAATCTGTGAGAATGTACTCTGCGAGTTGTATACAAGAACACTGATTCATCACATATTTTTATATGAAGTAAATATGACACTCAAAATGCGACTACTATTTTTTGTTTACTTGCAAGTGAAGATGTCTCGTTGTGCTTCAGGTGGCATCAAGCAACGGCAATTCAGTTATTCATGGGAGTCATTAACCAGTGATGACTATCATTTATACTTGTTGAACTGAAACATCAAATTTAGCTTTTGGTTTCTGGATTCCCATAATGTCTATTCACCAGAGTTTCTAGCACCCGGCCCAACTTGTATTTCAGAAACTTGTGCGTCCCTTCATTTCGCATTTAGCATTGTTGCATTTCAGGATTCACAGAGTTAATACATCGTTTTCTATTTGCTGCATATGTTCATGTTTCAGTGATCCACGACCCATTTTAGATAGGACTCATTTTATCTCAGGGTCATCCTGGATTTATTTCAGTGGCCCCCGTATAGTAATCTTGTTTGGAACATAATTCGAGATTAAACTTCCTTGTTTCAGGAAAACAAAAAAAGGATGGAATTGAAATTTGATGCACCGCGGAAAAGCGAGTTACTTGCCCTGAGCAAATATAACGTTAATGGTAAGGATAAAGCAATTATAGTAAGAAATGATTATCCGAAGCCCCCTGTCCCTTGTTTTGAAATCACTGAGGATTTTGATTTGGCAAAGGTTGAGGAGGTATGATAACTATCCATCTGTGTGATATTCCTCTCGCCTTATTTTTTCTTTTCCAGTGCTGAGTCCTGACATTCTCTCTTTCAGCTTATGCTAGAAAGGGATATTAAGATCGCCAAGTCCATGGCAAATGACATAATCATCCCAGACCCTGCTCCCAAGGTTTGTGTTACCTTCATTTACATAATTTGATTGATGACTCATTCCATTACATTAGTTATTTTGTTTAACCCTGTAATATTATAGGGTACTTAAGTCTACTGAAACAATATGTTTGTTGTTGTCATATATATGAACCTTGGATAGGAACATGTGGATTCGCATGCCTGAACCATGCTAGCTTTAGATCCCCTTACTTTTCCTTCTCTCCTTGTTGGTGCCTCATGTTTGGTTTTATCTTCAGTGTACACCAACTTGCTTGCGTTACACGGTTTTGTTGTTTCAATTGTTGTCAGCACCTCCATAGACCAAAAGACAGTTTATTTTGTGGCGTTTTTAGTTGGATAACTGACGCCTTTCACCTTTTTCAATTGTGACAGACTCATCTAGTGGGTGGGTGATGCCTTCTTGGACATATATGCCAAATTGGAGCACATCCTTGTAAAGGATAGTGTCCAGTGCTTCCTCCGATTTTTCGAGAACTGTGAAGGTCAGGGCATGTCATCTTATCTTACCATCACCGCACAAACCTTAACCTTCATTGTCAGTTTCAATGCCCTGCGATGTGCAAAAGTCGTATTGGAGGGCATGGCACCTGAGCTCTATGGGATGCACGCCAATCCCAACTGCATAAACAAATATGGATACTTCGTGCTCCATGAAGCTGCTGAAAGGTTCTCTGTTGACATGATCAAGTTGCTTTTACGCCATGGTGCATCAGCCAATGTGCGCACAGTTGGCAATGATGTCATTGAGAATCTACTCCCGCTCCATGTCGCAGTTGAGAATACTTGTCTGCATAAGTATCTAGAGGACAATCTGGAGTACAATCTTTCTTGCAGCCAGAATCATCTGGATTATGTCTACAAGCTTATTCATCTACTGTGTCTACCTGAAATGGTCTGTTTCACTTCCCTCCCAATACGAATCACTACTTTTGCAGCATGACGTAAAGAGTAACTATGGTCATACCATAGACCCCTGATAGGTTATAATGAAATTAGTGATACAAAGTACCGGGCACTCTTTCATCTCAACTTGTCAAAGAAAGTAAAGTTTTCATTTGTTAATCCTTTTTCTCTTACTTCATGTGCAGTGTATGTTCTTATAGTAAAAGATAAATTTTCATCAATAAAATATACAAAAACTGTTGCTAGTAATTACTTTGATAGGAGGAAAAATAGTGATATATAGAATGATTATTCAACATTACTTGCTTCATATGAATGCTAAATGGACTTAGGTTTTTGTTCCTTGTTGTTTTACAGAAGATCTTCTTGGACACAACTAGACTGCTTGCAGAGAAAACAAATAATGTATTTCAAGAGCTCTGCAATTACATTGAGGATGGAAAAATCATCCAGTCTGCTGTTCTACTACTGGCTGCTCAAGAGCAGATCCGTGGGGGCAGTTCTTCCAAGATAAATGGCAGTAGTAAGAAAAATGGGTTTGACCTTGTCAGTAACTGTATAATGAGGCTTTCATTTTCCTTGAGATGGGAGAAAGGTTCACATGGAATGGCACCGGAGCTTCTGGAGGAAAGGAAGGCACTTACTGATTGCGCATGGCTGCTTGTTGATGTAATTTCCTATGCCGGTGAAAATCTGTCTGCATACATTCAAGCACATTCTGAGGTAAGCATTTTTGTATATTGCGGCTGCAGTGACTCAGATGCCTTTTACTTAATAGTTGTATTTTTACTATTGTCAGTTACGTTGTTTAAAAAAATACATGCCCTAGTCTTTCTTTTCGTGGAAGCACATTCTGATACTATGTGTGAGAATGCTTTAGTTTGTGAATATTTTTTCAAGAAGCGTATTTCTTTTCTCTTGCTCGATGCTATATATCAATTTAACATTTTCTCTAATATTTTTATCACTAAATTATGTTCTTGTTAATTGAAAAAAAATCTCAAACCCAAGATGCTACTTAGATTCAGAAAGTTTCCATCCACTTCACATCGGTTTGTTGCTTGAATAGCTGAGTCTTGCTCTAATGTTTAGCCTGTCATATAATGCAATGAGATTCAAACCCCTCTTATTTATAAACACTCGGGAAAAGTGATGGCAGAGATAATGAAACAAGAGAAAACAACTGATAGGAGTAAAGCCATTGTCATAGTTATTTTTATGAAATGTTCTATGTCAAAAGTATTAGTAACAAACCAGCCTGTTATTAGCTATCCATATACTCATCCACATCAAATCCCCTGTTTGGCTACTTCTTTCCTTTAATCTTCACCATAAAACAGACAAAAAAACTGTAAGAACACCTTTTGTGCTTTATCTTCTAAGACAGTGCTTCATATTATTATATTGCAAAGGAGATTGCTATACGAGTTCATGATAGATACAATTATTGATGATTTCTGCATTGAATTCACACACTACAACTGGAAGGAGCATGTTAGTTCCTTTTCCAGTACCATATGCATTTTTGTCATGGAAATGCGAATCTTACAATGAATACTTAATGCATGCATAAATAGTGAAAACATTGGTGACAGAAACACTCGATTTCCATATTAATATTACCTGACATGAGCATAGTATATTTTCTTGGCTTCACTTATGTCTATTTTCTGGTTTTGTCACTGCCTTGTACTGTATCATTTTAGCAGCCATATCAACATCAAGTGTTTGGTTAATGTTGTTGCATGGTGCATGGATATAGAACATGTGCTTGTGTTATTTCTCTTTGTTTATTTTCTGGATGCATGTTAGATGAATTGGCAGAAATGAGCATTTTCATATTCTTATGGTGGCAGTTGTGTGGCATGATTCCCAGCTCCAAAAATTCTAGGTGCTGGAGCTGGGGTATATTAAGGTCATTGACATGAGCCTTCCTTATTCATGTTAGACTGAAAATTTATGCTTAAGGTACTTTATTTAGCCTACAAACTCCAGGTCCTCCAAGAAACAGGGAGTTGGAGCTCATTACAGTAACTTGTCTGTGGCCTCGGAGGACAGTTCAATGTAGTTCAACAAACAATTCCATATTCTTATGGTGTATGCAATTTATGACTAACCTCTTTAAGTTTGTCTGAACTTCATTTGGATCATATAGCCTGAAGAAATTGACACCTTTCTCTTTGGGAAACCAAAACAAAACAATTAAAGTGATTTGAAATAGTTGGAATTTGAATAACTGTGATGTGTAGTTAAATATACCGAAGGGCGATGCAGTTCTTGACTCTTACATTTGAAGCGCCTAGATCATAACATGTACTCCCTCCGTCCTAAAATTCTTGTCTTAGATTAGCCTAGATACGGATGTATCTAATACTAAAACGTGACTTGATACATCCATATTTAGACAAATCTAAGACAAGAATTTTGGGACTAGGGAGTAGTTAAATACACAGAACTTGTGGAAGCAAACAAATTATGCTTTAAGCTAAATAATATACATTAATCTAGATGAATCTGAATATGTATATCATGTATGCAGTTCATAAAACCTAGTGAATTGAATGCGATATCTCTTTCTGCACACTTATTGCCATCCAACTCATATTGCACAATTGCAGTTTTCTCCTCCAAACTATTCTTTCCATCATCTCGCTGCTTACAATTGGTTATATAGTCGCTACATTGTATATACAGTAGATCTATGTTAGCGATGTATTGCCTTATACAGCAGCTTGTATGTCATGTAGGTGCCCAATGTGGAGGTCTTTCAACACGTTTCATCTATCCTCAAGGAGTATGGATTTTGCCCCACTGGAGATCCCATGGACGCTGTAAACCTGTACTACTCTGTGTATTGCTTCACACAATAATTTACTATGTGAATAAATGGTTATTTTGCTGATTATTTTATTTTGTCTTCCACTTTTTGAAGCTAGCCTTATGACTGCAGAAAGTCAAACGGAGAGTCATGCAAAGGTGTGTCGGGCTCAAGTGATTATTTTTACATTTAACAAACTGAGTCTTAATCTCTCCCCTTCTTTTTAAAATGTATAATAGGGCTTACAGATGCAAACATGGCAGTTATGGAATCGGCCAATCTGGATGCTGCAAAGGAGAAGGTAAAGATAATCAAAACTGGGATTGATCTTGTTTTGGATAGACTGATGGTGTTCAGCAACGAATGATACTGTGGCAGCAAAAAGAAACAAAGCTATAAGAATATCCCTTTCCTTGTTCTTTTTATTTTACTTTACATCAACTTCTTTAAGAATATGTAAAGAAGTAAAAATTTCCTAAATCGACAAATCCCATGAACGCTGTCAGATACATAATAGAATCTTCATTAGCCATGTTTTCTTGATTTCTGACTGTACTCATCTTTCCCTAATCTTGAGCTCAGGTCACAACTGTTGGAATTGACAGTCTCTCCCTTACGGCACGGCAGCACACCAAACAAACACAGGTAACCCATTATACCTTAATACTGATTTTGGTTTAGCAGTACCAAGCAGCTTTGCCTACACAAATGGGTTATTAACTAGAGCACAAAGTGATGGTTTTGGTGCTGCAAAGTTGGGCAGCTTTGTAGTAGCGAATTCAGCCATATTCATAGAGTACAAGCATTCGTGTTCTAATGTACTTTGGCTACTGAACCTGGACAGGTTTAAGCTGCTTCTATTGCCTTATTAAATGAGCTACAAAACATCTAAATTCTGGCCTAGAATACCTAGTGTGTTTTCACACACATGTATAGAAACTAGGAGTACATGTGTAGAACTAAATTCTAGCTTTGAGTTGGCTCCAAATACACATCACCTATTGCAATGGCACGGCATTCCAACTATTCATCTCTGCATCCTAATGTGTTTCCCATTAGTTTTTTTTACCAAAGAATAGGGGGTAAATGCAATAAAAAGTAGTCTTAATTAGCTTAATAAAATAGCTGAAATGTGTAGGTTCCAAGTAACATCAACATTGGGACTTCACCAAGGGGGCTTGCACGCACATTATAGTTATTTCCAGATCTGTTGCATCTGAAATTTATTTGGTGCCTGTGAGAAAAGATTCTGATAGAAGAAGATGCAGTGTAATATGATTGTTGGAGGCAGTAACAAAGCATGCTTCAGTTGCGAGTTTGTGCCATGCATTGTGCTGGTTCAACAGCTTGTTATGTTGCTTAAGCATGCTACTTAATTACTACACTGCAGTAACATCATTCATATCTAATGAAACACCAATGTTGTGTATTAGTCAACATAATACTCCCTCCGTAAACTAATATAAGAGCGTTTAGATCACTAAAATATTGATCTAAACACTCTTATATTAGTTTATAGAGGGAGTACTCAAGCGAGAGGTGCTGGCTGGAAGTATGGATGTTTCTATTTATTTTTTATGATGTACCTATAATGAACTATGTGACAGGCTGTGAGAAAGAAAGCAGGCGGAGGATGGGATCCCACATATACAAAGAGAAGTTTCTTCCCATACTGGAGATTAGTGTTACAAGATCGGGTTCCTTTGAAGGTGTATCCAGCCTATGCAAGCTCAGGTCTATCACTGAGTAACTCAATAGTCAATGGATCTACTCAAACTCCAAATCATAAACTTGGTCCAGTCCGGAGAATCTCGCCACTTACAAGCAATAATCAACCGAGAAGGTGCTTTATAACGGCTGCTAGTGGTGCAATCAGGCTCTTGAAAGTGCTAAAGTAGAGTAGAAAGGTATGTCAGGAGTTTTGTCTCCCTCTCCCAAGTTTTCTGAACATGCCCTACATAAACACATGGGAAGAAAGAATTTTCATGATGCACCTTTAACTAGTAAGATTATTTGTTGCTAGTCCATTAAGGATTTGGTTATTTGCTCGATGGGGTTAGGTATTCTATTATTGTGTCTTTTTCCCCGCTGTTGTAAGTTTCTAGTCTCCAGGTTCTTCTACTTCATGGGCTACACCAAGCTTGGGTATGTTTGCTTGCTTAGCAATGAGCAACCCTACTGTTATTTATTTCCCCCAAGCGGTCCATGTGCAGATAATTATTTAGATGATAGTGACATCTAAATCCTTGTGGAGAAGCAATATATGTCCACATGATTTCTTGTACAGTACGTATGTTTTTGTTTTCTTAGGGAATTCTCAACCCTGTGAAATATACAACACATTTGATCCTATGGATATGATGGTATTGATCAACCAAACACCCAACACTTGTTAATGCAGTGGGTAGTTCGTTAGTGCTTAACGTGGTGCTGCTCCCTTTACTAAACCATGTTAAAGCTGCACTCGTAACAAGCAGCTTCTATTGATGCTCATAGGCATGGAGTTCTTTTTATGATCATTTTTTTACATGGAGTTAGTTGTGTTGAAGTGCTTCTTTAATCTCCTGCACACATAAACATGCATTTGTCTTTAGTTATCTCTACTATTACATGGGATTCTGCTGTCATTCTAATGGTTGCTTCAACTCCCTCATTCCCCTCCCGCAAACATGGAGTTTTTTTTACAATCATTTTTTTTGACATGGAGTTAGTAGTGTTGAAGTGCTTCTTCAATCTCCCGCACACATAAACTGGTAGGACTAGGGTTCCTACCAGGCCTCCGATGCAGATTGTATGGGCAAGGAGGAGGGGGACGAGGGCTGGAGCGGGCGCGCCGGCGGACAGGCGCCATCACGGCTAGGGTTAGAGGCAGCGGCGGCTAGGGTTCCGGCTCCTCAGGGAGCCGGGCAACAGAAGATTATAATATCTTTATTGCTTCATTTCAACGATGTCTTACAACTAGTATTTATAACTTTAGCCTAAGATAACTTGCCTAAGATAACTTGTGGGCCAAGCCCCTAATACTAATGCCTGGTGGGCCTCTTCCTAGTATAGACCAAGCCGGTCATAACATCTCTCCCCGCCTGCGCAAACAGCTCGTCCTCGAGCTGAAAGTCTGGATAGTGTTGGCGAAAATCCTCACGCTGCTCACTACAAGAAATATGTCAACTTATGACCTTCTGTCAGTGACCCTCGAAGAATTGGTCATAAATTTATGACCATTTTAGATCAATTGGTCAAAATCTGTTCAGGGGGCTCCAAACCCTAAACCATTGCGACCATTTTGGTCAGAAAGGTCGTAATTTCCTTACACGAAATGGTCACAAAGCAAACAGTGCTAGTCCGCTGCCTTATTTCTAGTTGTTAATGACGAATATAGATGGTCATAGCCTTGTAGATTGTGGTGGATTGTGATGACTAGGCGCCATCTCATCAGTTTTGCCTATGTGTCATGTCCATGTGGCAGTTTTTGCCCTAGGTTGTGAAGCAACCTATATTTCTATCATTCCCAAAATTCCCAAAAGAATCTCATAAATTCTTTGGGGCATATCTTCATCAAATATGTAAAAATCCTTCCTTGCCTAGTTCAAAACTAATTCAACAATATTCATTTTCCTATTCTGTTCACAACAACACTTTATGAAGGAAGTGCTATTTATATATTCTTGATTGCCCTCGGAATTTTTGGGCACTCTTTCCTATCCAAATCATTACCGCATGACAAAATTCAGCTCCATTTGCCTAGCAAATCTTCCTCGGCAAATTTCCAAAGTTTTTGTCCACCTAGAAGCATTGTGAAGGAAGTACCTTTTTTATATCTCTAAATGACATGAAATTTATACAGTTCCTTCATATGCCCAAATTATCATCCTCCTCCAAATTGCAGCTCAGTCAAATCATCTATGTGAGCCCAGGTTCAATTTATATTTTATGGCCAAATTGGCACGTTGCAAAGCAAGTGTTATATAGACCCCTCCTATTACCCTCAAACTTTTCGGGCACTCTTCCATACCCAAATCATTGCCACATGATAATATTCAGCTCAATTTTCCTAGTAAATCTTTCTCAGGAAATTTCCAAAGTTTCTACCTCAAGAGAAGCTTTGTGAAGTAAGTACTAGCTAGGCTTACCCAAATGATCTGAAAATTTACCAGCGCATGCCCATACCTATGTAACTTACCTACACCAATTTTTAGCTCATTTCATTCATCCAATCTCTCTCACTAGTTTTCCCAAGTTTTTGTCCATAGAAGAGCATTGTGAAGGAAGTACTACTTTGGCATGTCAAAATGATATCAATTTTCTAAAATGCTTTCCTATGCCCAAATAACCATCCTCCACCAAATTTCAGCTCAATCCATTCATTATTTCGAGCTCAACTTCAACATTCATATTTTTGTCCAGTGTGGTACTTTGCAAAGCAAGTACCACCTAGGATCCTCCTTTTGAGCTGAAAATTTATGAATACATTCTCCTTAGTAGATGATCATCCTCGGCCAAAACTCACGCCCATTGGCCATATGCATTTCCCGTACCGCTAATCAAACACTTGGCTGCTTATTCATGTTTGAGCATCGATCGGTCTCCCCGTGAGAATCTTATGTTGTGATTTTCTTCCTAGCACCTACCTAGGGAGTTCCCAACCCACTAGACATTCCTAGGCCGCCCAGAACACATGGCAACACCACGGCCACGCGGTGACCATGCGGCGGGCATGCGAGTTTACGCGCTCTAGAGTTGGGGGCCTCGGCCACTGCCCAAACCTAGACGTATCGCCACCAAACCATGTATTTATGATTAAATAGGTACTTATGTAACTAGAAATGATTTTTGGAAAAAATAAATAGCAAACTATGAGGCAGCTGCAGTTCAAATTTGACCCGCTTCCTACTGAATCGGCGGGAATTTATCTTTTTCACCAGAGGTGGATCAAAACTTTTGACACCCAACCATTTTGTAAACTGTGCATTAAATATGGCCTAGTATTTTATAAAATTGATTAGGTCCAATTTTGCAACAAATATATGGTAGGTCCTTCACAAAAAAATCATTTTGGGCACTCGGAAAATGGAAAATGAATTTTTCATGCAAAGAAAATGAAAACTTCCTTAGGCAACA